GGATAGGATAAATTTAAAATTGTTATGGCTTGACTTGTTATAGCGTCCTCAGTGAAGTCACTAAATTGTCATAACATATAGCTCTGAAAATCTATAGCTAGACTTAACAAATGGAGTTCCACCAATATTTTTTTTTGCTAGATATGATTGGCCACCTAATGAATCTATCCTTTTAATGAGCTCCTAAGCTTGACAAAAGATCCCTAAAAGAACAAGTTTAAGTCTACTAACCAGAATAAGGTTCAAGAGTTCAATTACATATGAGAAAAGTTATAGCACCCCAACATGCACATCTAAAAGATGGTACTATTTTATTTTAAATTATCCTAAAGTTTTGATTCTAATGGTTTTTATTTTAATGTTTAAATATTAGAAATAATTTTTAAGATTTTTCATCAATTTGATAGAATTCTTAAAAATATTTTCTCACCTTAAGAGTATTAAAAAATCTCATTTATTTTTTTTGAAGAGGCTCCGTCATCAGAAAAAGGTTTAATCATTTTTCTCTTTTATTTTTTTTGTTGAAAATATATCTAATTATTTCACTATTTGGGCCAAATTATAAATATCTTCTCTTTTTTAATTTCTAAATTTTTCACCCTTTGGGCATATTTAAAAATTATTTTTTAATCTTTCTTTTTGTTTTTTGATCTTTGGAAAGAAAATAACATGGCAATTATTTTCTTGAAATTTCATTTAAACTCTTCCACTATTTAGGACAAATTTAAAGAAATTTCTCACTTAGAGATTTCTTAAAAAATTTACCATTTAAAATTTTTAAAAATCTAACCATTGAATAATTATCAAATATTTTCAACGAAATTTATACATTTGGAAAAAAAATACAATTACTTTTATTGAAATTTCATTTAAATAATTCCACAATTTATGACAAATTTAGAGAAATTTCTCACCTAGAGATTTCTTAAAAATTTATCATTTAAAATTTTTAATAATCTCATCCTTGAGAAATTAGTATTTTTCCAAAATTTTATTAATATTTTTTATTTTTTCTCTTTTTTTGTTTGAAAATAAAAATTAATTGTTATTATTGAAATTTTATCTAAATTATTCAACAATTTGGGATAAATTTAGACAAAATTTCTCAGCTAAGAATTTTATGAAAATTTATCATATGAAATTTTTTAAAATTTCATCATTGGATAATTATTATTTATTCTAAAAAAATATTTTATATTTTATATTTTTATTTTTCCTAAAATTAATCATGTAAAAAACTTATAACATAAATATAATAACTAAATTAAAAAAATTTAAAAATTTTAAAAAAATAAAAATGGCTCGACTTGGTGGCTGAAACTCGGCTTAACTGTAGACACAGAGAGTGGCTTGGAAGCTTGGCTCGGCTCAGCTAAAGAATTGGTTGAAACACGAGTGAGCAGAAGCGGATTGCATTTAGGTTGGGTCACCTGAAAAAAAACATACGAATCTTTGTGGGTTTATTAAGGCCAAAACAATGTTGTTTTGATGAGGGATAAAAGCCTGAACTCAATCTTTTTCACCATATTTTCTCGACTCCTTTTTTCTCTTCTCCCCTTTTTCTTTCCCTTTCTCTCTAAATTTCCTAAGAACACTAGTTGAATCTTCACTGGATTCTTAGATTTTCATCAGAATTTGGATTGGTCATTGGAATTTGGTCGAAATTTCATTGGTTTCTGGAAAATGGATGCCAGAAACTAGAAGCCTCATCGAAAACTGGGGTTCTCGCAGGAAAGTCACTAAAAAATTCAAATGGCGCTAAAAAATTTTGCCGGAATCTAGAAATTTTCCAAAAAATTTCCAAAAAAAATCTTCTTTTTCAAACCTAAAAATTTCCAACAGATTTCTGACTACTTTTATGTCGTATTTCTTGCTTTGATCTCTGTATTTTGCCTTCTATAATTCCTTTATGTTTTCTATGTTTTTTTGTGTCTTCTATCTGTGTGTATTTATAGGGTAAGCATAAAAGTTCCTAATTAACCAGAAATTCACCGTTGATAGGATCACAAAACCTAAAATTTATCCTATATAGATTAAGTCCAACTATAACTCTGCCACCATCCATTCATGGCAGAATATTTTTTTTCTTTTTTTTTCCTTACTATTATCTTAATTTGATAATACCAAAAACTACAAGTAAATCAGATAACTACAAAATCAGAGATAAAAATAAATAAATAAATAAATCATAAAAAAATCAATCGAAAAAATAAGAAATAAATAAAAATAAATAAAAACAAACAAAATAATGGGTAATTGGGTTTTATTGAGCTAAGCCCAATTGATTTGGGCTTGGATCAAATATGATGTCTACAATCCTAACAATTAACCTCACTATTTTTTCATTAATTTTAGCTAATGTTTTCTTTTAAATTGGGCCTTATGTGAAATGTTTCTTTCATTTTCTTTCTATATGTTTGCGCCTTTCTTTTATATTTAACTCTTCATCTTAGTTCCAAAAAAAAAACTCTTCACGTAAATTTTTCTTAAAAAAATATCTTCATTATAATTTTATTAATTAATCATTCATCTGGTATATGGCTTGCATGTGAAAAAACATGTTAAATATAATAGGAAGATATATTTCTATCAGTTCAAATTCTCAGGATAGCTGGTGCTTTTTAGGATATTTTGATATTACATGTAGAGATGCCTACCTATTAATGCAAAAAATTGTCATCCATCTACAAGAAATTATTAGTACTAGCTAATGTATTCATGGCTCGGCCTGGCCCGAAAGACATCTTTAAGAACTTGTCTGAGGCCAAACCCAATTCACTTATTAAAACCTGTTTAGGTCAGTTATTATTTAAAATATTATTAAAAAAATTATATTAATATATTTTAAAATTAAATTTAAATAAAAATAATATTTTACAAATGAAAAATTTTTCAAAAGATTGAAGAACTAGTCCGTGAATATGACCATAGTCAAATCTATTCTTCAAAGCCACAACATCACGAAACTTAAGTTTACCAACAAAACATAGTAGCTTCTGGGGCTCAGGATTGTATCTTTGGGAGTAGAACGGAAATATTTTAATACGTTGTTGAAGCAACTGCAGAAGGAAAATTGCAGAAACATCTACCTTTGTTTAATCGGATAAATTTTGTCAAAGAAATAGCAGGGACAAGCAAAAGAATCTATTGGTACTGAAACCTAATCTCTAATTAGAAGCTTTGACTTTTGTTGCATACATTGCATAAAACCCTTATATCATAGGGATTCGTTATTCACATTTTTTTTCTTGATTTCGTATTTCGAGATATAGAAATTCTAAATACTTATATATGTCTTAAATTGAATGTCCACATTTGATTTGATATAAGGAAATCTTATATGTCTTCTATATGTCACTTTTGATTTTTAAGTTTAGTGGATGTTTGGCTCAACTTGTGAAAGAGTTTTTTTATTACAAAAAATAGAAATAGATTTTAAACTTATAAGGGAATCATATTTTGTTTTAAGTGAAATTGCAAATAAAAGCTTCTTAAACAAATATTAATTTTAGTACCAATTATTTAATAATTTTTTTATATTGCACTTTACTTTTCAATAATTCAAAAAAATTATGGGGAATATTATATTATTTATCATTTATTTTTTTATTTTTTCTATTGATTTCATTTATTTTTTATTCTAATTAGCAAAAATCTCTTTCTTTTATTTATTTATTTTATGTAAAAACTTGTGATTTAATTTAATAAAATTGATTATATTATTTCTTTATTTATAACAATATAAAAATACTATAATATAGTTTTCAAAATTCTAAATACTTTTATATTAAGTTTGCGAAATTTTATTTTAACTTTTTTTATAACACTTTTAAAACAACTTTACTGAAACAAAACTTCTTGTAAAAACTTTGACAGTGTCAAATAGACTAGTAGTGAATCAGTCTATTATGTGTGAATTTTTGTATATAATAACTTATCAAGTGGTAGCGTGTGGTTTAAATTAATAGTAACGATGAAAATGATAGACAAATAAACGAACAATAATGAAAAAAATTCTTTTCTTATATACATAGATTAAAAACATTTGTGTCTTTGTCAATGACTTGTTTCAACAGAAAACGTAAGGTAACAATTAGTATTATTTTTAAGATTATTGTAATGATTTAATTATTATAATGATGATTAATTTTAGTGATGATTTATTTATCATGATAATAAAATCACTACGGTGATTTAATAACTAATAATCTTATATTATTATATTTGGTACAATATTATAAATAATTAGTATTTTTAAATTACTGTGTTTGATATTATATGAAAAAAAAAATCATATGGTACAAAACATCCAAAATAACTTTGTAAAAGTAAAGCAAGATATTTAATACTTATTGATTCAATAATTCATAAAATAATTAAACATTATTTTGTTTAAAACTATAAAATATAATCAATTTTGATGAAAATAATTTCTAAAAAAAAAAATTAAATAAATTCATTATCTTTTTTCTTTTATAACATAAGACCTTTTTTAGAATAAGTGATTAAAAAATTGATTTTTTAAAATTTTAGCAGCCAACGTCTTAAGTAATTTTAATTATATTTTTTGTGAATGTAAATTAGTCATAAAATAATATTGAAAATTACTTTCTTATAGTGATAAAACTTTTATATCTTTTTATGTTGGGAATCAAATAACTCTTCAAGATAGTAATCATACCATCCCAGTGATTTAAGATCGTTAGCACATAAGTTTTTTGAATTACTATCAAATAAGGTGACATAATTATCAAGTAGAAATCATTGCAATTTTTAAAAACGGATCACTTCATATCTTTTATCAATCTCTGTCCAAACTAAGCTAAAGTGAAGAGCTATACAAAATATACACGTTAAACTTTTTTTTTTTGGGTGGGTAAAAAAATTGACAGTTCGTGCATTGGAAAAATATGAATTTTTTTTTGTTTTTTCTTTGAGTAAACCTCAAATGTTTGTTAATTGTTTAGTTTATTACATTTGATTTGTTTTATATAATATTGGATATATGTTGATAGGGTGCGGGATCACTTACTAGACTGCAAATTTTCTCTGCAATTTGCTTCATCAACAATGTCTGTATTTTGAAGTTTTAATTTTGATGTTTGAAAAATTGGGTATGTGTCATTTTCTCTCTTGACATATACAAGAATGTCGTATGCTTTGTTTGTTTACTTTTCCTCTTTGCCTTCAAAACTGAAATTGGGCAACTTGAATGATATAATATGATTATTTCAGGTTGAAGTAAAGAAGAAGACAATCGGATGTTGCTGTAGGGAGCTCTAGATTTCAAGCTATAAATTTCATCGTTACATTGAACATAAAGCACATAAAAGCTCCTCGCATTAATAGCTTCTTTGCTTTAAGAAAATGGAAATGCCAACCGATGAATCAAAAACACTGCCTCAACCAATCACCATGAAAGGTGGGGATGGCCCTCTAAGCTATGCCAAAAACTCCTGCTTTCAGGTAATCTTGTCTAACTTTATTAATTCTCTCCCACGATTTCAATAGAAGAGCACAACATCGTCATGATAAACTTAATAATTATATTTTATAGAGTTTTTTTACATGTAAATGCATATCATCTTGAACTACACCATAAAATGCTGTTTTCTCAAACTCGAAAATTAATTCAATTGATTTATACAATCATCTTAGCATTCGACAAGTCTGGGTTCTTATACTTACAATTTCTTCTTTTAATTTCTTCGTTCACTATTCTAAATGTTAACCGTCTTGATGTCATTTTGAAACTATTATAGTAAAAGATAATTAGATAAGCATTAGCCCAATAATTCTTCTTAAAATTAAGGAGAATGGATCTTAAATTTTGAGATAATATTAAGAACATATATGGGTTAGAGAAATCATAGTTTTAATCATATGATGCATGATTGTTGGACTTCAACGTTTTTGTGATGATTTCCGTTCCTTAGTAACAAAACTTTGTTGCAGAAAGGAGTTGTCGATGCTACGAAAGGAATGATCATTCAAGCAATTGCAAACAAGCTTGACATGGAGAAGCTTTGCTCTGAATCTTCCAAAACATTTAGAATAGCAGACTTTGGTTGTTCTATTGGACCAAACGCTTTTTTCTCCATGGAAAACATCATAGAAGCTGTGGAGCAAAAGCACCACACCAACGCTGGAAACTTTGCAACTTCTCTGGAGTTTCAATTGTTCTTCAATGATCACGCGAGCAACGATTTCAACACACTTTTCCAATCTATCCCTCCCTCATGGCCATACTTCGCCGCTGGAGTTCCTGGTTCGTTTTATGGACGATTACTCCCAAAATCCTCCATCCATATTGGGCATTCCTCTAGTGCATTGCAATGGCTCTCCAAAGTTCCGAAAGAAGTCGTTGATAGCAGTTCTCCAGCTTACAATAAAGGAAGCATATATTGCACTGGAATTGAAAAAGAAGTTACCAAAGCTTTTGCAGCCCAGTTTGAGAATGATATGGAAACCTTTTTGAATGCTAGAGCTGAAGAGCTTGTGGGTGGAGGGTTGATGGTAATCCTCGTGGGTGGAATTCCGGATGGAATCGCTCTATCTCAGACTGCAATTGGCAAATTTTATGAATTTTTTGGAACTTGCCTTGTGGATTTGACTAAGAAGGTAATTCTTTTTCTTTTGTTAAGATTAAATTTACAAATAAAATTAAAATCATAATAAACTAATTCATTGCACGTAAAACATAATTATTATCCGATATAAGAAACCAATTAATTAACAAACTCTATAAATAATTTAATATAACAAACATATAAAAATAAAAATTTAAAGCTTCATGACAACTATGCATTTACTTATAGTTTGTTTGGTCCACATTGTGATCCTTATTGTAGGGATTAATCAGAGAAGAAAAGGTGAACTCTTTTAACTTGCCCCTATACTTTCCATCCGCTAAGGAGTTGAAGTCATTGATCGAGAGAAATGGGCGTTTTAGCATGGAGAGTATTGATGAAATAATAGAACAAGTAAAGCGTGCGCACACCAGCTTGCCTAGTACCCAAAACTATATATCCCACATAAGAGCTGGAATGGAAGGATTGATCAAAGATCATTTCGGAAATGAGTTCGTCGATGAGTTCTTCGCACACTATGCCAAGAAACATGTAGAGACTCGCTTCGTCTTTGCTGAGAATGCTGTTGACAATACCTTAATATTTATGATTCTCAAGCGCATATAAGTCTTAGAATGAACTAAAAATGTCTTAAGGACTAGGTGCCCTATGTGATGGGAACTTTTTTTTTTTTTCTCTTTTTTTAAGCTTGCAAAACTATCTTATAGTGTACGCTGGCAATAATTTTATACTAGTTAATAATCCGCGTGTTGCTACGATTTTTAGTTGTATTTTTGTTATGGTATGTATGCTGTGTACTGTTTTTGACATATAAATGGAAAGTTTCAAACTTTAAGCACTTATACAAATGTCTAAATGTCATCCCAAAAAGTTCATACAAGTTTTTCAAAAATAAGTTGTTTTTAGCAAAAAATTAATTTTTCTTGGGAGAACTGATGTAATCTTTCTTCGTACATCGCAGTGGTGTTCTTAAGATGGCTTTATCATTGAATGGAAAACTACAATAATTAAATAGTAATTTTGAAATTTATTATTATCATAACGTATATATCTGTAAATATATCATTAGACACAATTTAAAAGTAATTATCAATCTTTTTATTTAAATGCGATTGATTATCTAATTAAATTTGTTCCTTTTAAAAGAGATGTGTCAAGCTTGTCTCGAGTTTTTTAACAAGACAAATTTTAGTCTACGAAACCAAATTTATGTTTGAAAGTATGGTCAGGTGTGAGAAAGGTTGTAGCATCTTACAACTGTCATTTAAAGGATTGTATCGGTTAATTTTGTGTTATCCAAACCTTAAAATATATTCATAATTTTATCAAATAAATTTAATATTAAAAATTAATCTTAAAATTATTTTAATAGTTTAGTAGCAATTAAGAAAAATTTTTTACCTCAAAAACATTTATAGATACTAATGTTCCACTCTAAAGAGACTCTATTGTCAGATTCGTTAATATATATATTTTAAAATTAGTTATTTTTAAAATTAATAAAATCTTTTAATACTTTGATAAGATTTTATTTTGAGACATATCTTCTAATAGTTTAGCAGGGATTTTATTTAAAAATTTATTTATGAATTTGTTTTTTAAAAAAATTAATAAATTTTAAAATAGTTTGGTAAGACTGAACTTTGATATTTAAATTTTTCAATAATTTGATAGGATTGAATTTCTGTTTTATAAAAATCATTAAATTTTTTAATAGTTTGACAAGATTTAACTTGAGATTTAAATCCTTCACTAGTTTATTAAGATTGATTCAATATATTTTTTATTAAAATTTTATTATAAAATTCTTTAATAATTTGATAAGATTTATAATTGAAACATATTTTTAAATCTACGAAAATCTTTCAATAATTTTGAAGCACTTATGGATTTATTTAAAAATATTTTAAATAAAAATTAATTTAAATAAAATTTGCATAAAATAAATGAAAAAAATTATCAAAATAGAAGAAAGGTGGCTTGGCTACAAGCACAGAACTTTGCTCAAGGATTGTTATGCGGCTCAATTCATCTCAACTCAACATTGGCTATTGGGATGCTGGTTTTCAGGTTAGGTCGTGCTACAGGTCAAGTTAGCACGCATGTTGGCACGCAAATCGTAAGTAATTTAATGAGACGCAAAACAATGTCATTTCTTCAAGATATAAAAACCCAAATTTTTAGATATAAAAACGCAAAACAATGTCATTTTTAGATATCTCTTCTCTCTTTCTCTCTTCTTTCACCCCCCAAACTCTCTCCCCTCTCTCCTTTTTCTCTAGATTTCGATCATTGACTTTCAAGGCTCGTCGGTAAGTTCATCAGATTTTAGGATTATTGTCGGAATATGGGTTTTTCACCTATTTTTCATCTAAAATTTTATTCCAAAAGATTTGTAGAAAATTTCAGAAAATTCACTCTTGATTGATTTTGGCTTCTCAAACTCAATTATTACACTACTTCCCTAAAATCAAATGACCTTCAATTTACCAAAACACCTTCAGATTTTGAATCAAACAACACATTAAAACTTGCTCTCTAAATTATGTTCGTGACTTCTCTTCTCTATTTCTTTCGCTGTGTTCCTTTGCTTTAAATGTAGTCGGAAGCCACTCAAAGATAGGAGTTTAAGATCAAATTGAACTTCAAAATCTATGCTTTATCACCAAGATTTTATGTTTAACTCCAAAAATTATCAAAACCTTAGCCAAGCCTTTATCTCTTTTAACTTTTTTTTTTTAATTTTCGGTTTTCCCCTTTCATTTCTTGAAATAATCAGATAATTAAAGATAAGAAAATAAGATAAATAGAATTGAATTAAATAATTATATATAACTAAGAAAATAGAAAAACAACAATGATAAAATAGATAGGATAACTAAGATTTAAATATACATAGATAAATATAATAAAAAATGCAAATATTATAATAATAATAATAATAATAATCAAAAATAATAAAAAAAAATTCAACAAATGGGCTTGGAGTGAGTTTGTGCTCAATTGGTTTGTCAATTGGTTTGTCAATTGGTTTGGGCCATGGACAAAATATGGTGTCTACAATTATCTCTCTTTGCATAGTTTCTATGAAACAGAATTAAATAAAGATATAAATATCCATTACATCCGAGTACAAATTATTCAACAATTTTTTTTTGCGAAAAGCTCCTTGAAAATAAAGACACAGCACTATTAAAAATTTAAGGCTCTTTTAAAATGAAAATACACAACTTCTTAAAAAATAAAGCTCCTTCAAATGAAGGCATACAACTTTAAAGAAAAATCTTATTCAAATGAGGGCATACAACTTTTTAAAAAATAAAACTACTTCAAACAAAGGCATAACTATTTTAAAAAATTAAGGGTCTTTCAAAATGAAGGTACACAACTTTTAAAATGAAAGGCTCCTAGGGCACACAACTTTAAAAAAAAAATAAAGCTCTTTCAAATGAAGGCACACAAATTTTAAAAAAAACAAAGTTCTTTTAAACGAAGGCACACAACTTTAAAAAAATAAGGAAGATTCCTAGAGGTTTTGACAATCATGCTACAAGGTTTTACAAATCGTGTTTGGAGGACCTAGAGAGTATGCTTGGAAGTTTTACAAAAAATTTTTAACATTAAAAATTATAGACACCCTATTTTGTCCAAGAAGTTTTTTCAAAATTAGGCTTCAATCGTAATTAAGAAATTTTTGGGATTTAATTCCATAATTAATTGGCATTAAAAATGATGTGGAGAAATTGTCGGGATTTAATTCTATAATCAATTCACATTAAAATGATAGGGAGAGATTTTTGGAATTTGATTTCAGAATCAATTCTCATTAAACCGAAAATCAAATAAAATCATAGATTTAAGGAGAATTGATTTAGCATGAATTTCTATATAAATCTATGATTCAAGCACACATGAGGGATTTTCTAGGGAACCCAGATGATCTTTCCAAATCTCATCCTAGCTTTCATAATTTCTCTATTCGCAAGGCTTGCTATGCTGTTCTACAAAGTTGGGTCTCAAGGAAGTTCATAACTGATTGTGTGGGAAGTAACATGATGCCACTTTTAGGAGTTTCCTTTAGCTAAAAATACCCACACAAAAAAAGCAACAAAACAAGCAACTTTGGCTTCCCTAATTGAATCATCAATTCAGTCGGTTATAAACGTGGTATATACTATTACTGAAGCAGAAGATATAAGCTTGCAAAAAGTTAACAGAGTTTCACAGGTTGGGACAAGTATGGTAGATCTTTTTGCTAATGTCATATTCATTGTTGTGGTGGATGACCACTACAATAGGGAGATCCATGTGACTATTATTGTTACCAGCTTCTCATAGTCATTTCAGAAGACATTATTAATAGACCCCAAGGCTGTAAAATAGATTAAGAAAGTTGTAAGAGGATAAGAAAGCAATGGTATACCTCTATCCCTCTAATCCATGTCTAGTGGTAGGTCCATGGATTTATACATATGATAGTTTGGTGACTCCGTTGGGGACGTTGAAAGTCAGGCCAGTAAATAATTTTTTATTATCCAAGCCTTGCTTAATAAATTTGAGATTATTTTCTTTCTTTCTTATTTTTTTCTTTTCATTGTTTATATTTTATTAGTTATTCATTTATTTACTGTAAATATCTTTCATTCATTTGCATATACATAACATAAAGCTCTTTGCCCGAGCTCTACCTTTAGATGAGAGTGAAGTACTTATGCCCTCATGAAATTTCATGTCTCCCTATAGGCCTACGAAACACTCATTCTCAGGTTAGACCCTTTACACTTATAGCCTATGATGGGTAAGGATTGGGGTATCTTATTAGTCTATGATGGACTATGATGTAAGGAATAATTTGGAAACCTTTTAGAAGTAATCCAAAATGCATATAGTTAACTTTAAGAGCCTAACTATAGATAGAGCCATGTCCTTCCATTCTTTATAGTTAACCTAAAATTTAGGGTCATGTTATTTTACTTACTTCATAATGTTTATTTTTATTTTTTATTGAGGTGACTAACTGATTTTCTTGTCTTCTTTTTCTTTTTTTTCTTTTTATGCATATTCATAAACATACATGTAGATTGCATATTATGCTTACTAACCTTTTTTTTTTTATTATGTACATATGCATTTATGCATCACTGCATTTATTCTCATACATAATTTGATGATTCCATAAACATCATTCTAAATTTGCACCATAATTATGAGAAATCAAGATTCAAAGATAGCTCAACACTAGTACTACACTCGAGTTAGAGACAAAAAAATGGAGTAAGATAATACAAGCCATCTCTAAAGGATAAAAAAGCCTAAAAAATACTTGAGGGAAAATTAAGTAAAATTTTGGATGCTCTTGAAAAGATGAATAGAGAAAAAAAGATGGAAGAAGATGGTTCGCATGAAGCTACCAAATCACCATATCTGCTAGGTTTCACTCTGTTTCAAGCCCACACCATTCCAAGCTTTTAGCAACAACAAACCATGTTCCCAAATTACAACCAAGGGAATGTTCAGAGTTATACCAATCCTATCTTTGTTGAAAAGATAAATGAGCCCATTTAAATTCCTAAAATAGATGAGACCAAAGAAGAAATGAAGTTATAGATAGTTGTGTCCCTAGAAAACTCTAAGATCGATCAAGCTATGAGCATGATTAAGGAAAAAT